GGTGTATTTCAGTTGTGTGTGCCTTCAGTTTCCACCTCAGCGTGGAAATTCTCCCAAAAAGTGGAAAATAGATGGCCAAAACTGACACACCTAATAGTTTAAGCCACAAAATACCATTGGTAGGAAAATAAACTAAACCAGTGATAATGAAACATAAGTCTATCTACGCGTCCTCCATTCAAATTCGTCTAGGATGCGGAAAGCAAACTCGATTCAACCAGCAACAATCCTAGACAGATAGTCCAGGGTATTTCCAACTTCTTCAAATGTATTATACCCACACCCGATCAGTAACTGGGTTCAAAGTCCTGTTTCGACCGCCTTGCCTGCTGGACATTACGATGACAGTCTAATCTATTAAACTACAAAGAAACAGAGTTTTTGCGTCCCAGAAGAGGAGGTGGAAGCAGATTGCAGGTAACAAGACTGCTTGGCCGACTTTCTACAGTAATCACAATCTAATGAATACATTTCCGGAGACAAGTCATAACAGCTCGGAAATGACAGAGAAGAGCTGGACGTTTGTAATAAAGGTAAGAAGGGAATGTAAGGACTAAAGCTCTTTCTACCGAATCTTGAAGGCCTCAAGAAACGCCAGTCGACATGTTCTCCATCAGCATTGAGTACACCAAGCATCTAGTTTTGAGATGATAAAGTATTTAAAGAGCGAGGAAAAAAAAGCAAAATAATGACTTTGAGAATCAGACACTGAGAAACGATCCTCTTTTCCAGGAAGAAAACGCCAACTAATTCAAAAAAGGTACTATTTGTCTAATAGGTACTAAAGTTAATTACAATGCGCCATTCATCCGGCTGAAGAGACAAAAGGCTCTGGAATTCTGAGCGATCAACAACCATCCGACGCGAACAGGCGGAGGCCTATCCGAGTCTTTGAAAGTGGCGCAACCGCCCTAGGATTTTAAACAACTCAAGATGGCCTGTGATAGAAGGGCTGATCAAGTTAGGGAAGGAAAGGCCAAAAAACGACTGTACAAACTATTTGCACTGGAGTTTATGAATCGTGAAACCTAACAGTCGACGCCTGACCTATTTCTACAAAACAACGAGCGTTTCATCGATGACTCCTCAAAAAGTCTCCAGCATGCGCCAATTAGGCTCAGCTGATCGAAGAGTATGGAGGGTAATTTACGAGCCGAGAGCTTAATTTCC